TAGACTTTGTGAGTACTGTGTGTTGATTAGGATACTTTTATTCATTATTAGATGTTAGACTTTGTGAGTACTGTGTGTTGATTAGGATACTTTTATTCATTATTAGATGTTAGACTTTGTGAGTACTGTGTGTTGATTAGGATACTTTTATTCATTATTAGATATTAGACTTTGTGAGTACTGTGTGTTGATTAGGATACTTTTATTCATTATTAGATATTAGACTTTGTGAGTACTGTGTGTTGATTAGGATACTTTTATTCATTATTAGATGTTAGACTTTGTAAATACTCTGCGTTGATTGTGATATTTTCATTCATTATTAGATATTAGAATTTGTGAGTACTTTCTGTTGATTATGACATTTTTATTCGTTATTATTTACTAGACTCTGTAAAGCCTATGCTGATTACGGTACTTTCAGTGCATACAAGTTAAAGAACATTTAAGAGTCGTACGATATTTTTAAAATTTTCACATATTATGAATTTAAAACCTTGAAATTTCATTCAGCCTAAGGAAGTGGTGTTTAACATAACTACGTAATCAGATGCATTAGTTTCAGATTAGAAATTGGAAAAACATTTTTATTTCAAAGTTACATTCACTGCTTGCTGAAATCAGTTTTGTGATTGTTATTATATACAATAATAAGCCAAAGGACGCCATTTAACCATTTTTGTGGTACTTAAAAATGTCACATATATTATTATAGGATTATTCTTGTCGTTTCAAACGTCGCGATTAATTTTCTGAGTAAGATAGAGGCCATCGTATAACCATTGTTATGATTATGTTATTGATCTTACCGCGTTTTACGTCGCGAAATAACATCATTAACTTATACCAGTGTAAATACAAATGCGAATCTACGTGGGGACAATTATATTCCCCAAAGGTCCTCTGCTTGTTCTACGTGTCCATACTACAATAAAAGGGATGCCAGTACTCTGCTGCTTCAAAATAAAGTTTATTTTTTTGCTGAAAATGTTGTACTTTCCGAAAGAGCGTATCTGTCTTAGCCACTGCACAAATGTTTGACATACAAAAATATTATTTTGTTGTCTAAACAGTGTTCTTCGTCCAAGACTCATTTCCGGTAAGGGGATTTAACCAATTTTTTTTTTCTAGCAAGTACGACGTGTCAAGATAAGTTTAATATATATATATTACCTTCCCATGTTTCTAGGTTGCGTTGAAGCAGCAATATTCCAACCGCTTTCCAAATTACTTGCGTCAGTTATTTTACGTGGTTAAGAGTTCTTTAAAGTGCTTGGAAGCTTATGTGCTCCACAATTCACTCATTTTGAAGAAACACTTTGCGAGTCCTTTCAGATATTTTCAAAAAAACTAACAACTCTTACTAGGAAACCTAATTAAAAACGCATTTTCCAGTAGATAACCATTTATGAACTATCCGTATCTTCGAGAATGTCTTATAAAGCTTGTTCATTTGAATATGCTCAAGTATTCGATGAAACATGAACCTGCATGAAAAGTTTGCTAATTCTTTTAGAATAGTTCGAATTATTGAAACTTGCACGAGCCTTCATTACATGTAGCCCCAGTGGCTCAACAGGAAGTCTGAAGGTTTATAACGCTAAAAACCTGGTTTCAGTACCAGCGATAGGCACAGCATAGATGGCCCATTGTGTTGCTTTGTGCTTAACAACAGACAAACAAACACACAGACCTTCACGATTCATACCGGACTTTGCACATAGAATATATTAACAGGTGTTATTTTAGGTGATTTTACTAAGGTTGTTAAACATTTGAAACATCAGTTGATGTAAAAATAAGTCACATCATCCTCATATGTGGTATTATCAAGTTAGTACACACTCCTGGTAATATTGTAACGTTAGCTTTGTGTTTATATTTGGTGAAATGTGTGACCATACTTACCACAACTTTATTTATCAGAATTCTCAACTTTCTTCCTTGTCTTGTTTCTTCGCATGTCATTTTATGCCGCCTAAATAAATAGAATTGTAAGTAGATAACTAAAGTAACCGTATCCTGGAAACAGCATCTGTTCACGTGTTCATTGAAGTAAACGTTTTAACTAGGTAATGATACTTTAAAAATTACATTTTCAAGAAGAAAACTACAATCAACGGTTTTGGTATTTTTACATATTTTTTTGTAAATAGACACGTCAGATAATTACCCTAAGATTAGTTCGATCAACATATGAAATGAATACATTATATTAATTATATTTCCACTAATTAACTATTAATATAGCCGAGCTGGTGTTCGCTTATCTATATTCTGTGTGTGTTGTTTCTTGTTCAGCTATAGTCTCGAAACTGTCTGTCTTTTCTGTGAAACAAGTAAATTAACGATTACGTATCTTAAAGGTAGCTTTACAGTTTGGTTTATCTTCTCAAAGTATTTAGTATGTTACAAAAGTGGCAAATAGCCTACTTTATTATTAATTGCTTGCTGATTTCTTTTCCACACTCTCTAACCGTTAATACCAAGTTTACTGCAAAAGTTGCCAATAATCCACCTTTATTATTGAATATTTGTTATTTTCTTCTCCATACAGATTAATAGTGCTTAGAACACCCTCTAACCCACTAATACTACATATGAATGATTTTAATAATGACCAGACTATAAGTTAAAATTGGGTCACAGGGACTCCAAAGAAATGGAATACAGACACTTCTGAACAGCAGTTTTTCGAAATATAAGGCTAAACTAAGAAGTGAAAGGCACAGTAAAAAATTTAACTTCAGCACTTTCTGCATCCATATAAACCATGATGTGTAGCAAAAATGTATTAGTACATTTTTATATCGCGGATAGAATACAGCATCACTTGTATAACATCGTCACATTATTAGTTATTGTCCTGCTGGTGGTTCTTTTTGATGGATTACAATCCTCTGGCGAAAATTCCATTAAGAAAATAGCTAGTTTGAAGATCTTAAGACATCACTGAAAAGTAATGTTATTTGTCTTCCGTGAGTGACCATTCTTAACTCATAGCGATTTCGCCCAAACTCTAGAAGGCTAGATGAAGAGAATAGGATGGAGAAGAAAGGATCACAAGGTAGCTCTAGAAATAGTTGGATACATTCACCAACGTTGTGTGACAACATCAAATCTGACTTGGAAACACCTACGGAATCACCATTCTCTGATATATTTAGCGATTCTGGAGAGGGTTCTTCATCTGACAGGTAGGCCACTTATTTAAAGGAAGTTTTATGTCTAACATTTAGTTAAACAATTTTTAATTTTGTGTAGTTAACTGCTGACTCAAACACTCCAGTGTGGGTTTACGCTATCACAGGTAATTCAGTTAGTTAGAGGAAGTTTTTATATCTAGCATTGAGGTAAATAAGAGGTAATGTTTCGTGCCTGAATACTAACTGACTCAAACACTCTGGTGAGAGCTTACACTATCACAGGTAATTCAGTTAGTTAGAGGAAGTTTTTATATCTAGCATTGAGGTAAATAAGAGGTAATGTTTCGTGCCTGAATACTAACTGACTCAAACACACTAGTGAGCGCTTACACTATCACAGGTAATTCAGTTAGTTAGAGGAAGTTTTTATATCTAGCATTGAGGTAAATAAGAGGTAATGTTTCGTGCCTGAATACTAACTGACTCAAACACACTAGTGAGCGCTTACACTATCACAGGTAATTCAGTTAGTTAGAGGAAGTTTTTATATCTAGCATTGAGGTAAATAAGAGGTAATGTTTCGTGCCTGAATACTAACTGACTCAAACACACTAGTGAGGGCTTACATCTGAAGGTAGTTCAGTGATCGAGGGAAATATTTTAGTCTGATAGTTAGGTTTTTGTCCATACTGTACTGGTATCACGGTGCTTCTGAGAAGGATTCTATAGGTAACTGATTTAATGGAGTTTTTATACTTTGTATACTGCTGAGTACCTACTGATTAACTAACTAAGTCAGCTGTCATATTTTAGTCTGACGTAGTGTGTTTTATATTTTACAAGATTGTTAGTAAGTCTGAGAATAAATTTAATTTTCGTAAGCTACTAATTATGGAAAGAATTCGAAATTTTTACTAATAATGTAGTGAATATTGGAAACTTTCTACCACGCAAAATAACTAATATGATTATATAAATTGATAAAACTGTATTAACATACAGTAATATGGAAGAAGAAGACGACGGCGACGATATTTCTCGTGGACTAGAAACGTTTCTGAAAGCAGTAGCAGCCAGACGAAGGGACAGAAGAATTTCCTTAGAGATGGGATTTCTAAAACCAACACACGTTGGAATAGAACATAAGCTTATTGCAAGTGCCACCTTCCAGAAAAACTACAGGTAGTTATTTTACTGGATTTTATTAAGGATGAGAAATAATATTTGGAAACCAGAACTTTTCTGTGTTGTTTTAGAATATATTACTTTTATGCAAAATACTAAGTTTAGAAGAAATAGAAATTAGGACAAACCGAGAAACGAAAGTACAGCCTTATTTACTGAACAGAAACTCCAGCTTAAGTATCGTAGCTTTGATTGGTTATTAGTCTAAGAAAATGATAGGACTTTTTAAAACCACGCCTATTGGTTTCTAACGCTCACGGTACATTAATTGTAAATTTTGGTAATAATTTCTTTTCAGGCACATTGTTGTGCTTATATAGTAACAATAAAAAACAATTAATGGTAAAATCTTTATTACTGGATATAGCCGACTAGTTTCGGTAACACAGTTACTATCATCAGAGCTAGTATCTACACTATCACGTTTTAAGTAAAATAAAATTATTATTTTTGACACTGATGCCATATTTCGATTAAAAAAAAAACTTCGGCAAAACAGCATTTCACTCATTGGAAATAACAGTGTAAAGTTTTAGAGATTTCGAACTTCTAAAAGTTATACTCAAAATACATATCATAAATATCAGAAGGTTAGTTTTCGGTGTGTCTATTTCAGTCGGACTTTCCGAACTTCTATCCACACTTTCATTAATCAAATTTCGTATTTCAGTGTAAAAAAAAAAGCCTGAAAAATACAAACCTACAATTTAATATACACGTATGTTTCAGTCTTGAAGGTCTTCAATCGATATCAATTACAATGAACTTGACAAAGATGAAACCACGTGTCATTCTTATAATTGTGCTTTATCTCTCTACATATATATATATATATATATATAAGTTTCACCTGTGAATACGAATAAATAAAACACT